ATTCATTATATGGGCAGAACTTTTTTTTTTTTTTTTTTTTTTTTACATGTACTGTGTCTTCCCTTTATGTAGTAGTTGTTTGGAAAATTTAACTGTCTGTGCCAGATTTCATTCCTTGTTTACAAGTGTTCGAGTGAACTGTTATGAATTTGGCATGTGAAACATGCCCATTTGTATTATACTACTGATAACCTTTTTCTTTTTATACTTATATCCCGAAAATTCTGACTTTTTAAAAAGTGGACTTATTTTGAAGACAGAATCATATTATTTTAGAGACATTCCATTTGGGACATTTATTATACTACAGAGAATCTCTCATTTCACAATGACCCATATTTCACTTAATGTTTACACAAAACTGTTCATTTATCTGACATAAGGGGCTAATCAAACTGCTTAAGTACAGTCCTGGCTGTTTGGAAGCTTTTTAAGCACCAAAGAGAGAGTACTTAGCAATAGAAATTGTGTTTATGTATATGGAATATTGCCACTGAAATTCTGAACAGACCCAGAGGAAGAAGAATATTGAATTTTAATATTCGAGCTAACATAACTTATTTCTATTTCGTATTTAACTTAGTGAGATAAATTGGCTCTTAATAAAACTGTAATTCTATAATTGTATTATAGAATGCAATCTAAGTTTAGTTCTGTTTTGTTCTAATTTGAAGAAGTTGAGGTAGAAGGCCATATTAATTATAGTAATAACCAGTACTTCTGAATGTGGGCTATGTGCCAAACTCTGTTTTACACATATTAATTTACTTAATCCTCACAAAAACTCAATGAAGTAGGTATGTTATTACCCTTACTTTTTAGATGAAATCAAGGCCCAGGTAGTTTAAATATCTTTGCCCATGCTCATAATCCTGATGCTGTTTTGCTTCTCACACTTAATGAGTCTTCTTAATCATGAGAGATCCTTAATCATGAATGTGAAACTTAAGACAAATTCATTTTATATGTGAGACAATTACCTTCTCACATAATGATGCCAAAGCTTGATATACATTTATTTCCTTTGTTAAGGTAACTGTTCATGTGGCAGTCAGTAGGTTCTAAAATATAGAATTTTCAGTTTATATTTTTCTGTTTTCTTAATCTGTAGTTATAGATAAGAACCAGTAAAATGTTAAGTTTTACATGCCAATCCTTTTCATACATGAAAATCTTACTTTTTACTCAGCCATGGTCAACTGGTTCACTATCAACACATTTTGCATTTAGGATTAAGCCATAGCAATGATGTCTATGCATTATTGAGAAACCAAACTGTTATAAAATTAGTGTACTTAAAAATACGCTCCCCAAATAAAACTTGAAATGGGCTAAAAGGAGGAGATAAATTGATACTTGGTTAGTGTTCTTTCTTTTTGTCTTTATTGTTTTTTAATAAGGCTTAAGAAATTTTACCTATACTTTCCTCAATTTCTTGTGATATATAAAGATAAAATGACTTCCTCAGTCAGAGAAAAGCAAATGCCATATGATTTTACTCATGTGGAATTTAAGAAACAAAACATGAAAAAAAAAAAGATGGAAAAAGAAGAGAGAGAGAGAGAGAGAGAGAGAGAGAGAGAGAGAGGATGGCAAACCAGAAGACAGACTCTCAACTATAGAGAACAAACTTAAGTTTGCTGGAGGGGAGGTGGGCAGAGGGGGATGGGTTAGATGGGTGATGGGGATCAAGGAGGGCAGTTGTGATGAGTCCTGGGTATTGTAGGTAAGTGATGAATCACTAAATTCTACTCCTGAAACTAATATTGCACTGTATGTTAACTAACTGGAATTTAAATAAAAACTTGGGGGAAAAAAGCAACTTCAAGTAAAGAAACCATTCCCAGTATGACCCCTTAAAAGAACATGTCTGGTGTGTTCAGGAGAGATCAATACATGGGATCTTCTGACAAGGCAGAGGTAATCTTTTAAAGCTGAGATATTGACAGGGCAAGCCACTAAGTAAATAGCTGGGAAGCAGTAAAGCTTCAGTTGGCTTACATTGTGAACACATACCGCTTCCCTTTCCTGTTGATGAGATTGTTCTTGTGATGTTTTCAGCTTTGTGTTAGACTCATTTACTTTGATTCTACTTAATGTATGCTTAATCTTGTTGTTTTATGTTATCAAAGTCAACATGTAAGCCTTCAGCATAAAAAATTGGAGTTATCATCTCTGGCTAAATTCAGTAACATGAAAGTCCCAGTATTTCCATCTGATCTTGACTATCCCACCTAGAAAATGTGTGAATTCCCCTGCTTGGAGGATCCACAGAAGCTTCACTTCTGAGGACTCCCTTGAGGCTGCTTGAAGCTCAGGTGACCACGATCTCCTGAGTGTCAGATATAATAGCCATTGGGAAAACCAAACACAAATTGATAGCATTGAAAGACATAAATTTTGTGTCGGAGGGCAGTAGTCATAGTTTACTTTGATGTGATAGTTTCGGAGAGAACATGTCAGTGTATCATTGACCTTTTCAGTAAAATAAGTAAAGTATGTCTTAAGTATATGAAGGATCATGTCAATGTGGTAATGTTCCTCTGCTCCTGAAAGAACCATAATGATCAGTAAATTGGTTGCAGAAGTATGTGGTGGAGAATTAGATATACATACCCAAATTAGGACAGTTGCCAGGTACTTTCTATTTTCATATCTGAATGTTTTATGGTGGTCAGCTCAGGATCCATGAAAATTCTTTTCTGCATGAGGTTCTGTAAAGGTATGAAGGAGGAGATCCCCGGGTGGCTCAGCGGTTTAGCGCCTGCCTTCGGCTCAGGGCGTGATCCTGGAGACCCGGGATCGAGTCCTGCATCGGGCTCTCTGCATGGAGCCTGCTTCTCCCTTTGCCTGTGTCTCTGCCTCTCTCTCTGTCTCTCATGAACAAAAAAAAAAAAAAAAAAAAAAAAAAGGTATGAAGGATGTACAAGGTGTATTGTGCCCAACTTCACTGGTATACTCTCTAAGAAGACAAATGACAATCAACAGTCTGAACTCGTAAAGTTCAAGAAAGAAAGCTGGGATCTCATGGAGCCGATGTTTTATTTCTTTTGGCTGCCCTACCACAGAGTACCTGGCGATTTTTTTTTTTTTAATATACCCCAAAGAGTAAGCAGGCACTGACTTAAGAAAGATTGCTGCAAATTTACATGTAACAGAACCCGAAAATTGTCAAATAAGGAGTAATGGTTTATCTTTAATTGTTAAAAGCATCAAATTTATAGCTAATTTTAGTTCTCTAAATTGAACCATGTTTAATAACCAATAAGTTACCATATTCTCCATGCTAGAACTTTTTCTGGTTAATAACTTTTCCAAGCTGTTCTTCCAACATTGGTTTTCACACATTTCTCTCATCACTTTTATTTATCTATTTTTTCTCTCATCACTTTTAATACTCTGGTTTCTTTTATGGACCTAGGCATTCCAAAATATTTACATATTTCTCTTTGCAAGATGGGATTTTCACTAATTTCTTTTCCATTTATAGATGTAAATGTCATTAACATAATTAACTTTATATCACAGAAGGAATAAATTAAAATTATTTTATAATTTTTTTCTATAAATGGTTTACCATATATGTGTGTTCTTTTCATAGTTGTGTAAAAATCTGCTACCAATAATAGACTTTGGTGCTCACAACATGATGCTTTATATTTAACTTATTATCAAGTATTACTTAACACCAATTGATGTGTGCTGAAAGCCTATGGGCAGAAGAGAACTGTGCTGTGTATCTAAAAAAATATAACAATCACGGAGTTATTCTGGGCTGTCTTGTATAATAGCTTCTGCTGTTTAGCAACATTAGTGAGAGGTCGCATAGGAAAGGATAAAAAGAAGGAAGATATTTTTTAATGGAAACAGAGCTTGGGGGAAAAAAAACCCAGTTATTTCCTTTTTGCTTGCTTTCTTATTTGGATTCTTTGAATTAGAATTGTAAATAGGCCAGATCAATCTGTCTAAGAGGAATCCTTCAAAGCTGAGTGAATGATATGTCCCCAGAGAAATTATCTTACTGGGACATGATCTGAGTTTATGCCAAAGGCCTGTTTAAAGGTTCAAGATGACTAAGGATTTATTCAAATTAGAGTTTTAACAGTCTTTCCTTTAATATGTTTGCTTTTTTCTTTATTACAGCTGAAGAAAGATGATGAAATTCAGATTTTAGAAAGTTAATCATATTTGTTGGTATAAAACAATTGGCCACCCTCAACAAATTACATTTATATTTAATATGACATCAAAGGCAAAATAAACAGCCTCAATTTGTATAACTTAGCTTAATCTTTTCTTAATTTAGACATACTTATTTTTTCCAAGAGGTAATATCCTTTTTGATACAGAATATTTTAGGTTTACATTTATTCATTTATTCATTCATTCATTCATTCATGAGAGAGACAGAGAGGCAGAGACATAGGCAGAGAGAGAAGCAGGCTCCATGCAGGGAGCCCGATGCAGGACTCCAGGATCTAGGGACGCCAGGATCACGCACTAGGCCCAAGGCAGGCACCCAACCGCTGAGCCACCCAAGCATCCCTTGGATTTACTTTTAAAAGAGAAATTCTGACTATTGATATTATCATGATTGATTAGGATATGACTATTCAATGGTGCAGCCTCAGAACTCAAGGTGAACATTGTCAGTTTTAGATTTTTTTAACTGGTTTGCTAATGCTTAAGTCTTTCTACTCGAGGTACACTTATATAATAAAGTGCACAGTGGAGGCTTTCGTGTTCTGACTAATTCAAAGAAGATGGATATAAATAAACTTTTATTTGTACATCTGTCTTTTCTTTTTCTTTTTTTTTTCAAAAAGAGAGTACCTGAAGCCAACTAGTAATGTCTGTTTGGACTCTGAGTAAGCAGGACTGTAACTCCTGGAAGCTACACTATTTAACTAGTATTAGAAACTGTAGCCCTAGTTGTTAATAGTACCATACCCCTTCATAGTCACAACTCTTATAAGACAGATACATAAGGAAGTTAGATAGTGCTCATTTTGGCAGCCCATATTTAAAATTGGAACCATACAGAGAAGATTAGCATGGCCCCTGCCTAAGGATAGTACACAGATTTGTGAAACGTTCCATATTTTTACTCTTCTCTGATATCATCTATGGGTGGAGAAAGAGACTTTGTAAGTGAAGTGATCCATCCGGTTTAATGCCCATTCCCAATTCCTCTGTCAAAAAAGAAAAAACGAGAGAGAGAGAGAGATTATAGATAAACAGTATTACTTATAGATCCAATTCTAAACTCTTTCATTTAGAAGAGATCACCTTGGGAAAAGAATGATCTGAATGTATTCCCACTTGATGTTTTATAAATCAAGGTTTTTCCATACAAATATTTAAAAGCATATTTTGGATATAATCTATAATTTTACTTTAGGAATTGAGCCTCTCACTCAATAAGGGTTATAATTTAGAAAAAAAGTAAGATTTATTTATTTATTTATTTATTTATTTATTTATTTGATTGAGAGAGAGAGAGAGAGAAAGAGAGAGAGAACACATAGGCAGGGAGCCGGATGTGGGGCTCAGTCTCAGGACCCTGGGATCATGAGCTGAGTCGAAGGCAGATGCTTAACTGACTGAGCCACCCAGGTGCCCTTGTAGAAAAATATTTTTAAGTCTGTCACAAATAAAATAAAGATGTGGGAGGGAAAAATTATCAGTCAGGATGTAAAAATACTGGGAATGAGTTATACCAGACAAAAACCAATAGTCATATGATCTCTATTTTTCATTGTGATTTTGCTTGAAATTGAGCATGAGGATTATAAATTTAATTTTAAACAGAAATTGAATATAAACATCTTTGAACCTTTGATAGAAGTGGGTTAAAATCAAATCAGAAACACGTAACTCTATTTTTTTTCTTTTTATCTTCCCCAAATTTTAAATGATTTTAGAATTATAAAAATCCTTTAGAAAATTCTAGGTGTTTCTTATTATTTGGCACCTTTAGAAATTTGAGTAAATCTGAATGTAGGCCACTGTCAGTTCTATATTTTTGAGCATTATGTTTCCAGGGGCCCAAAGTGTAAAGGCTAATTTTGACCTTGTTAGCAGAGGTGAATATATATATTTTTTAATTGTAATGTGTGCAATGGTGGGGCCTCTTTTTTATACCCCCTTTGTCCTTCCAGTTTGTCAGAGTTTTGTTTGTCTTATTTCAACTAAACACCCAGTAAAAAATAATGAAAAAAGGTATTAGGCTTATTTGTAAGTGTTCTGTGCTGATTCTTTAAGAGAAAATATTTTCAGGTAGAACAGATGGTTAATTTGGCATTTTTCATAACAGTTGCCATTTTTAAATACTACATATCTTTAAAATGAATTTTCTCCATTTTTACCTAAGATTTTAGTTAAGTTTAAATAGGTAAAATTAAATGGATATTGTAAGCCATTGCACTATTTCCAAGGTTAATGTTAAAAAACCAAGCAAGTTACATTTAATAAAAATATGGATGCATATTATTGATTCTTCTGTTCATTCATTGAGAATTGTAGTAGTGTCGCAAATAGTTATAGAGGATGAGGGCTATTGGAGTCTGAAAAGTATGTCAAATGGATGGGATAAATATGTATATTAAATATATTCAGCTTTTCTATCTGGCTCTTAAGCCTCTTCTTTTTGAAGATTTTATTTATTTATTAGAGAAAATGAGCAGGGGGATGGGCAGAGGGAGAGGGCAAAGCGGACTCCCCTCTGAGCAAGGAGCCCTTTGTGGATCTCCATCCCAGGACCCCAAGAGCATGACTCAAAACCTAAGGCAGACACTTAACTGACAGGCTCCTCAGTGAGCAGGACCTGGGGATTATGACCTAAGCCCAAGGCAGAAGCTTAACTGATTGAGCCACCCAGGTACCCCAAGCCCCTTCTAAAATTAAACTATTCAACAAGGCTTACTGCATGCACTGAGTGAAGTATTATTTGAAAAAAAAAATAATGTAACTGTTACCTTTAAATTTGCATGCGTTTTCATGTATTGTGAATGTTGATGTTAAAAATATTTGATAGGGATCCCTGGGTGGCGCAGCGGTTTGGCGCCTGCCTTTGGCCCAGGCCGCGATCCTGGAGATCCGGGATCGAATCCCACGTCAGGCTCCCGGTGCATGGAGCCTGCTTCTCCCTCTGCGTGTGTCTCTGCTTCTCTCTCTCTCTCTGTGTGTGACTATCATAAATAAATAAAAATTAAAAAAAAATTTAAAAAAAATATTTGATAAATTTCTACACTTAGCATATCTTTTTGAATTTTTGATGCAAGTAGTTTTATCCTTTGTGATTTTTGAAGAGATTTTTAAAATATAGCATGAAACTGTTGTTGGAAACTGTCAAGAGTGTATGTTTCTGGCTTATTACATAGTTTGTACAAAATGAAATTTAAAAGTGAATGAAGAAGGGATCATACATTTAAAAATCCAGCCATGCAGGAGATTCCATTTTCTTACTGCCATTTGTTTCTTTTTTTTTTTTTTTTTTCATTTGTTTCCTTTGAATTGGTTGGTAGTCACTTGTCCTTCTATAAGATGAAAATCACACCCTTGTCCTCATACTTTGATTACTGAATCTTAGTGCTCAATGAATGAATTGTTCTCACCATCAAACTCCAAGCCTGGGGCAGTTAAGTTTTCTTGGTCTAGCCTAAGGAAATATGACCCTCTCTAGGAACACTTCCCATCTGCACACATAAAAGGGCTCTGTCTTTAACCATTACAATAGCTTTCTGCTTTCCTTTAAGAAAAGTTTTGTAAATCAAGAAAGCTTTTGTGATGTGTTCCTTTAATCTCTATTTGCTTCTCCCTATTCTTTTTATTTCAAAGTTTAATTAGGAATTCTAGCATTTCACAAATTGAAAGAAATAAAATATTTGACTAATATGAATCAGAACTCAACAATGTAAGACTAAACACACCTGCAAATATCAATCTATTATTTCCTCCATCAGGACTGAAATTTTTGACTATTTATGGTGGAGAGATTATATTTGAGTTTATTTTATCTTTCTAGTTAGTCTAAAATGAAGCAATGTGATTTTATTTTATTTTTGCGATTTTAAATATACTGTGCAGCCTGTTTTAATAATTTTTTGCATTATTTTAGGTTATTAGTTAATATTTAAGATCTAATCATACTGAATCGAGGTCTCAAATATTGATCACTATATAAAACAGTTGCTAGTGGACCTGTTGTTTGGTTCATTGCTCCGTTGGTACCAGCATTAAATGTAAATATAGTAGGGCTACACCTTTGTGTTTGATTCTATGTAGTTCAAGTTACCCCTGAACACACTAAAACAGAACTCAGTTATCTGATCATCACATTTCATATACTATTGGTTACAAATTAAGCTGACCAGATAAATAGTGTGTTTGATAATGGATCATGTTTTTTACTTCAGTTATTCCATAGTAGAAATCCTATGTATCCATCACCATTTGTTGGCTAAAGACTTAGTACAGTAACTGATATAATTCTAAATATACATTTTATTTTTCAAATAAAGGTAACTTTTTTCAGCTATCATATTTTAAAAACCAGATTCTTTTCAGATCCTATTTTCTATTAAGTATATTCAATAATGTAACATTTTGGTGAGAAAAGGAGGAAATTTCTAGCAAAATTGCTTATAGCAAATTATGTATGTGATCATTTTAAAGGTTAATGAATAGGCTGGGTTTTTTTAGTGGCAACCTATGTTTTAATGTATTGTGACATGTAGCCTGAACTTCCCGTGTCTTTAAAAACACGTACACACAACTCACTGTTTTCCATTTATGCTTGGATGCTTTTACTAGTTAGCTAAAATTGATGATATTATCACAAATATTTGTGCTCGTAGAGGTTTTGAGAACAAGGAGGGAGGTTTAATAAGATAGGGTCTTACACTCTGCTTAAACACCCTGTCTTCCGTGCTAATCTCCTATTTACAATGATCCATTAGGAACATTTAATGGTAGGCAGCATGTAGACCAGAATTAAAGAACATATGGGTACAGTTATCCTGGTTAAAATGGCCAACGTGCCTTGTATTGTGTCTGGAAGATAACAGGACAGGTGGTAATCCATCTTCACAGAGTGGAGACAGCTGGTATTTTCCGTAAGCTGAAGCAGTCTTTTTCTATGTAGTCTCACCTCGCAGCTGATATGTCGTTTATTAGTATAATTCAAAACACACATTGAGGTTAAAAAGCATTCTGTTTCTCTGTCCACTACAAAAAGCACTTTGTGGGCCAGGCATAAATCAAAACAAACAGACAAAAAAGGCATATATTTTAGTTTTTGAACTTGAAAAGTTTAAGCTTCAATTTAATTGTTTTTTTTTAAATATAAAATAAAGATTATCTTTAACTCGGCTCTCCTGTAAAATATTTTTCCTTTGAACTAGGTAAGGGAACTCTCTTCCCTATATTCCATATTCCACAAATTATGAAGTTTTCAGGGAAAATCTTTAGTTCATACCATCAGGAGATATTTGTTAAAGTCATTTTTTAAAAAAAGCTATGTGTCTCCTATCATTTCTTATATTACTGGAAGGATTATTGGACATGTATTGGAATCATAATAGTAGAATCTCTCAGTATCTGCTTGGAAATTGTTTTTTTTTTTAACATTTTTGCTTGCTTTTATTCAGTGTAAAGAAGAAATCAAATCTGCTGGATACCTGGCATATTGAGAACTGGAGTTCTGTGTTGCTTACAGTTCATTTCAGATTCCAATTACCCCTTTCAAATACTGTAAAAATTTTGACAGGGCCTTCATTGTAATGGCCATATCAATTGATTTAGTATGTCTCAAAATTCCCCAAAGGCAAGGTGAGGTTAAAGGTCAGATTACTGGTGCATGACATTCTTACTCATTTTAGTAAGATCAGGATCAGCGGTTTCCTGGAGCACACTGGGCATTATTCTAATCTCTCTCGTCCAAGTATTGCAGAGTCGATATCACTAATACTGTCCCTATCTGTAAAAGATCTAAGGGTACTCACACAGTAACTGAATGAGCTAGGATAGTGAGAGTTCAGCACATGCACTGAATTCTTTATTAAAACCAAATGCTCTTTTACATATTCACTCCATTTCAGATAAGT